GTTTAGCGCACTTTCTAATGTTTTAAATAGCCCTTGGAATGACCTTGACGTACGTAGTACATGCCCAAGTGAAGAGCTAGGCGCGTGACTGCTGCACCTCTGCACCACCTTGTTATCCGTAGGCGTACTGCGTCAAACTCTAACTCTTTAAGTTTTTCTCGGTGGTTTTAAAATCTTAACCTATTTTTGATTAGTTTGATTAGTAAAACGATCTTTTAACAACTTTTTCAATCAACATCTACCCAAATTGTAGCAGGTCTATAATTGAATGCAAACTTTGACTGCTACACCTTTTACTTTATTTTCNTTTACTTTTATTTAATATTGAAATGTGAGAAAATGGAGGGTGATACGACTTTTTCGTTATTTTTTTCGGAATCAGCACACCAAATTACATAGAAATTAGTTAAAATTATTAAAAAAGTTTTTTCGTCGTTGGCCTGTGGTATTAGATGAATAGTTTTGGAGATTACCCATTACATCCAAATTTTTATTTCAATATAAGTAAGTATCTAAAAATGTACCTTGCAGTTACCCAACAACTCTTAATTTTAAATAAAGTACTAAGAGGTACCTATCATCTCGAGAATATTTGTGAGGCTTAGTGCAACAGTTAACGTGATATTTCTAAAAGACATGTATTTGTTGTTATTACAGAAAAATCTCACGTTTAGTACATGTTACTTTTAAGCGAATGATTGTTTAAAGGTACAGCAGCGTCTTCAGCTAGCAGTAAATATCAATAGGTGTCGATATACTGGCAATAGTTTTGATACATTCAGACCAGCTTGTGAACCTATCAACTACATTCCAATACATAAACAGCAGCAGGTGTATTATTGTAACGATTTATTTGTCAAATTTAATTCGTATAATTCTTTTTCAAAAGCGATCGTTACCACGGAAAGATGTAAATCTCTTTACCTAAGTTGGCATGAACGATATATTTTGAAAGTCGTGAAAACTGCAGTCATGGAAGTTCGTGAACAGCGATTTAAGCATGTCGTGAGTTTGGAACTAATTAGTGCAATGCACTTGAGTTGATTTATGAGATAACTTTAAAATGAAAGTTACAAGGTTTTGTTTAAAGTTTTGAGTTTAATTATTAAACCATAATTGTTCAAGAATTTGTATTTTACACTTTACACCTACATAATATAGCTAGGTTAAATACCAGATCTGCAAGACCATCTTAATTGAGGTAACGAAAATGGAGTTCCTTAAATTAATCATAGGATTAAGATGAAGATGATTATCCAGGTCAAGTCTTACATTTACCAATTATTTTTGCAAAAATGTGACACATTTGAAGTAAATACTTCTCATTGAAATATAAACGCAAGTTGCTAATTGTTTATTAACCTATTCTTAGCTTGCATTGAAAATACATGGTCATTATTGAACATTATGATGTCGGCCTAAGTACGGTCCTTATGCATATATGCGCTCCTTAATCTTTCTAAAAACCAAGTAACATTACACTCTCCAGTATAAACCTTGTTTGAATGTTACAGCAAACAATAAAAGAGTTGTGTTAATAGACAATAATAAAAAGAAACATCTTATTTTAGAAGCCGCTTGAAAAATACCCAATTAGCATTTTATACCTGCTTGAAATGCGTTTTTTATAATAATTTTTTACAAACAAAATAATTCGAAGTGGTCTGTATTCTGTCGAAACTGCCAGACGTGGATCGCGATTTCGATCTTTTTGGATCTCATCAGCGCGTCGCAGGCAGCTCCGACAGAATACAGACCAACCTTTACCTGCTGTCTTAACAGCGCGTTTTAGAAAATACCACAAATGGCGTGGTGAGCGCCATCTATAGTACGATGCTACATTTTAGGATTACGTATGCTTCAACAAGGTCCATTTAAAAATATGGATATCTACTTGCTGAAACGAATCCCACGCCATTTGTGGTATTTTCTATAATATTTTACATTTAGTAGATATTTGAAATAGGCATTCTATTGCATTAGATGGTAGCAAACTTCTTTAGTAACAATATTAATCTATTTATGTATAATATTATGATAACACAAAACGTTAAAACTGCATACTTATAAATATTAAATAAAAATAAAATTTTGTACGACTTTATAAGCAATAACTGTACTTTAAACTTTCTATAGGTACCTAATTTAATGTATTTGTAATTTCTGTAAAAAGAATAATAATTTACTAAGTATGCATGCAAATAATCCACATAGATAAAATTTTAATTACAATCTTAAGATTAGTAGTAGTACCTATACCCGTTCAAATGACTCAAATGACTTAGTGCACCCTGCGCCAACAGTAACTGTCTTTACCTGACAGTGATAATAAAACCGACATAAATTTCATAATTGAAATGGAAATAGCGCGCAAAATGCACTCCTTAAAGCAGTAACAATTGAAATACTTAATTGTTGCATACTTGCATCAGTGTCTCATTGGGTGGGGAAAGTCTGTGCGGATTATGTAATAAAACTTAAATATCTTTGAACGTTATTTTGTCATAAAGTATACCTCTATAATCATCCCCCCACATTTACTTTGCGAATTTTTTACAGTGTATGAATGTCTCATTTAATAATATTTTATGTAAATTTTATTTCTCTACACCCCTCTATATGAGCTTTAATTATACTAAACCTCACACTTCTTCGTGCGCAATGTAAATAGAAAAGGGTACAATTTTTTTTCACGTATTAATATATACATACATAACCATCATTTTCTATTTGGGTCATCATGAGAAGGTCCTCAGTCCTAAGACTGGTTGAACACTTTTTCCTATCCTACACTGATCTTCGCATTACCCTAAAACTAGAACATCCCACATCCTTAAATATTTGCAAACAATAATCTAATCTAGGTCTATCTCTACTCTTTTTAACTCCTCTAATATGTCCCTGACTAGCCCTTCATACCTGAGAAGGTGTCCTACTAACCTATCTCGCCTATTTCTTATTAACTTCCATAGAGTCCTCTATTCACCTATTCTTTCTAATACCTCATCATTTCTAACCTTCTGTATCCACGGTATCCTCATCATTCGTATGCAGCACCATATTTCGAACGCTTATAATGTTTTTTTCCATTCACCCACTGCCCATGTTTTGCTTCGGTACAGCGCCGCGCTCCAAACATAAACCTTTAACAATTTTATCCAGAATTTCTAAATTAACCATTCGCGATCATACAAGTGACTTCTTTTTATTAAAGGCGACTCGACCCTGTACTATCCTTATTACTCCTTCTGTTCTGACTTACCTCACTTTCTAGATATCGAAAATCAGCCACTTTTTCTAATTTTTCGTCTCCTATCTTTATATCCGCTCTTTCCCCACTTTTTCTTCCCTTGCGTACCAGTACTTTTTGTTTAACTTTTATTTATTTTCATACAACACTGTTTTGTCAATACTCCTTCCACTTTATTTAAAGCTACCTCTAACTCTTCTATTTGGATATGCTTATGTATTGCTTAATTAGTTGTGAATTTTACATTATTAAGTAGATAACTAATTAGTTAAAGGGAAATTCTGCGATGTGAGAACCTCACTCTTGTTTAATTGATGACGAAAGAAAAGTTTTTCTGAAATACTTTAATTAACAAATTGTGCAATGATTGTGGCAACTGTGCAACAATTTATTGGGTTAAATTTAATTACAACACGGTAACTTATCGACAACAATGATGCGATTATCTGCAGTTACCTACTAATTAAGAGTAGCATATAAATTAGGAATCTATTTATTTTTACTTTGGACGTATTTACAGAGTTTTCAAATATACCAAAACTAAATTGCTAAAGTTACTGTACTTTTGTAAAGATATGAGTACATAAATGAGTACAGCAAAGTACTTTGCCAGAAAAGAAAATATTCTAATCGAAAATAGCTGTAAACATGTTTTCTCAAGTGATAATAATAGAACCCATTACTTTTTGAGTTTTATTAACCGCAAATTTTCTCATGGTTAAACCGTGTATTTTATAAAGTACATTCTCGCACTTCAATAAGGGTCATTAATTACAAAAATACTCTTACCTTATTACTTCCGGAATTGTTTACAAATGCACTTATCAAGGAACAGGACTGGGCCAAGACGTAAACTTCAAAAGTTACATTTTCATCTTCACAACTGAAACAAAAATACACTAAAATTGGAATATTCCTCAAGAGTTGATTGTTAGGGCAGATTCAACAGAAATTAATTCTAAAGTTATTGACACTCGCATAAATCGTATATGGTTCTCTATACCGTTTATAGCGACATCGCTTACAACAACGTACCAACCATAGCGGCAAAACCAAGGGTGGATCTAGTTAAGGGTTTTTTGGGCTGCAGCCCACAGCTCCGTACATGTAAAAGACCCCCAACCTCCATTGAAATCAATAGACGATATTATGGCGAAAAAAATTTCTAAAATTAAGAAAAATCCGATCAAACCGAATGGAATGGTGAATTCCCCGTGCATTTCTTGCGTATGCGCCTATTAATAGGGACTTCCCGCCCCTTATCAACCGACACAATTTTGTTTTTTCCGCACTTCGGCTGTCGTCGTCAAAAATTGACTTTGTCACTGTTATACCATATAACCCACATCATTATAGACAATAGTTTTTTGATAAAATGACAATTAGTTGAGTAAGTAGGTAGACCCCTAAGTAGTATAAGCCCAGAACCCCACAAATTCTCGATCCGCTGCGTATAAACACTTTTACCCTAAAGTTGCAGGCATTCGTAATAGAAAGTGTCGTAATCGTTGGTTAAGTTGGGTTAGGTTAAGTTAGGTCTTTTGGGTAAATCGACCGTAACATGTGGACCGTCCGTTTAAAATCGTTATAAACGATTTTGACAGTATTTTCATTAATGATTTACTTACAAAAATTACGATGAAACCTCTGTAGCTTTAGTTTCCTCGAGTTAAATCCGACCCTGCACTCCATGTTCATACAAAGCGATATGCAGGAGAGGGACCTCTCACATTTCGCTTCCGAGCTTAAGTTGGAGGACACGGTTGTGTCTATCCGTTCGGTTTGGTATAGAACAATATTATTAAGTATCGTAGACGGATATGGCCCAAACGTGGACACCTTTAGATCTAACGAGCGTGTGTTCTAGTACGACTGTCACGGTTTCGGGATGTTCGACGACCAGTTTCGTGTTCTTACAATTGGTCGCGAGTTTGTTCGGCCGATCGAGAGATGAGCCTCGACAGGACTATAGTAATAATAATCAGTTCGGTAGAATCCCGACGCGATTTGCTAGCTCGTTTCCGGGTCATCAGGGACGGGAATATTTTCAGACAGAAGAGGACTATGATTTCATAGTAATTGGCGCCGGAAGTGCAGGATGTGTCATGGCTAACAGACTCTCCGAAATTGAAGAGTGGAAGGTAATAAATAAAAAGCTCCAATTGAAAAAAAAAATACTTCAAATTTTTAAGTTAAGAAACAACGTAAAAGTACTAACCGGAAATAATAATTAATTACTCTTGATATAGAAAACCTACTATCTTCCTTTTAATATCAATATTGTCATTGTTTGTGAAATATTTATTTTAGAGTAATGTCCCAGCTATTATTTTCTCTTCAACTTTTCTGTATTTGACTAATTTTTAAATGCTTTCTTCAATGACTGTGAAAGATTTTAAAGTTTTATACACTTCCTTGAAAAACTAGAAAAGAGTAAGAAATCAATCTCACAGTTTTTCTCACACACATCCTTTTTAGCATCATTTGTATCCTAATATCGAGATTTAAACTTAGACTTATTGATTAATGCTCATTAATTAATTATAATTTAACATTTAGAAGAATATTTATTGTGAATCGATACTTCACGGAGAAAATTAAATTTTTATGACAACGCAAAAATTACAATTTTCGATTGTATATGACTGAATTTGTCATAGAAATAATAGAATTTATTAGGTAACTTGTAATAATCTCAATTTTGACATGTTTCTATAAAAATTATTTTAAGTTTCTTAATTATTACAATTAAATTTGTAATATCAACTAAAATACCTAGTAAATTTATTTCTGCTGGGATTTTATTTTTACAAATTCGGGTCTAAATTGTAATTTTTATTATTTTCGTTTAGGAAGCAATGGGCTAGTGGGATAAATTGTAAATATCACTTTAATATTTAGGTAAATTTTCGTTTTTCATTTTCTCCGTGTAATTGTAAGTATGTAACAGTTTTCCTTGATTGATCAGCTGTGTAGTTTTTGTATTCTTTCTTTTTGCCTCACCGCAAAGCCTCTATATCTGTGTAAAATGTAAAAAGCGTTTTTGTTTTTTGTTTATAAGTAACCATTTTCAGTGTCAATTACGCGAAGGCTAAGATTGAATAGCGCGAGTAATAACAACAATTTTCATGTAAAAAAATCTTGAATATTACGACAAATACAAACGAATATTCTACGATACTACAACAAATTGTTATGGAAATGTAACAAATAAACTGTCACTTCATTTTAAGTATGAATGAACTGCCCATTTATAACGGCACGCTAAAGCATAGACATATTAAGGTCACATTTGGTTCATTCACTTACATAAAAATATGTAGTTTTTCTTACTATATGGTACCGTGCCTAAATGGTACCTCGTAGAAATTACCTTGAATGTATGTACATGTACAATCGTTTGTAGAAATCTATGAAACATTTAAAGGAGAATAATTTTTATATTATAATTTACTTGTTCAATGCGAATGCTAGTCTCGAAAAGAACGTTGACTTCATTTACCACCAGTGACAAGAAGTTGTCTTTTTCTTATAAATACAAAGTAAATATATGTTCCCTTCTTTGCTAAGAACTGAATGACACCAGGCTCTAGGATAACTCTAGATAAAAATGTTCAGTCTCTGAGTCTCTGAAAGCGAGACTCGAGTCTTCGTCTCTCATCGAGTCTCTCTGGTGTCGCTGAGAAAGACTGTCGAGAGACTGTCAAAAAAACTGTATAGCGTCTCTGAGCGAGAGACTCGAGTCGCTCATAGAGGGATCCTCATTTTGTATCCAGTCTCTAAACGAGAAACTGAAATAACAATTTTATCGTTTGAGTCTCTCATACAGAGACTGCGGGAGATCCATAGGCAATAACTGAGAGACTGTGAAAGACTGTGAGAGACGCTCTCAGAAACGCTGAAAGACTCTGAGACTGAAAATTTTTGTCTAGGGAACAAAAGTATAATCTAATATTGCAAAGCATAAAATTTGTCTGTTTCATAAAAGTTATAAAATTTATGCAATATATTGTCTTTACGCTATTCATGGTTACCATCTCCTTCTTTATTCATGAGTCCATACCGAAGCTAGAAATATAGCAAAAATAAAACTTGGACAATAGCTTCCTTTTGTGGCATGTATGCTCAACAAGAATGAAACAGGATGTCAAACTTTATACAGAAAAGTGTACTATTATACTGGTAGTATTACCTTCAAATGTAATTACATGAACAATTTACATATCATTACAGAATTGATAAATTTTATCGAAACAAATACTACAACTGTTATGAAATTATCCAAAGGATAGAAAGTGGATATATATTCGCAGTTGTTTTAATTGATTATTCAGGAAGTTGTCATTCTCTTATACATACTAATAAAACTAAAGCCCCAATGCAATTAAAAAATTCTAAAATAACCAAAGACCGGAATTATCATTTTCGATTCAATTTTGCAGACCAAACTTGGCCTCAAAATTCCTTGGCGTGCTGAGATTTCGAGAGATCCTGATATCAGAATCCAAAAAAGTATTTTTTTAAAATTTTTGAGAACATTGTTGCGGAGAAGATAAAACAAACCATATACTGGACATTTTTGATTTGAAATGTGTTAATCCCAAAAATTCCAATGATGCTCGTTAAGATTGTTCGTAATTCCAATGTGCAGGGACCAGATTTGAGTTCAATTTTAGAAAAGAATTCTTTGTTTTAAGGTTTTCTATCTGTTGCGGTAGTATTTTAATGTCGTTTCAAAAGAATAACCTTTTTTTAGTTTCGTCGTATTGAAACAATTTCTTGGTCTAATTCGGATTATAAATAACAAAGTTTTATACTCTTGGGATTGGAATTAATGTGTAACTAATCAATAAAATTCTCGAAACGGGAACCTCTTATAATCATTATTTTAATTAAAATCTATTTTAATGCAATATCAGCGAATATAGATATAGATAGGTGGGTACTTCTACAGTATGTAGTTAATTCCGCGTTTCCTCTATTAAATCTAAAATGGATATATGTAATTAAGTTATCATATAATAGCCACATGCTTAAAATGTAAATAGAACCAAAATATTATGCTACTACAAATTATACGTCTTTTGGTTTAGTTGCATTTATATTAATTACAACATTTCTGCATTATTTAACTTCTTGGCATTAGGAGAAATGATACGGTGACCAAATGGTAACGTCAATTCTATTCCTTATTAGGCATACAATCAGTAATAGTTTGTTACTCAATTAAGCGTGTTGCTAGTATCAGTAATTTAGCGGATCATTAATAAAACATGCAAAGGCGTAAACATTTACAGTTTAAGACATGTCCTTGCAATATCGTACGAGAAAATGTGAAATGGATCAAACTGCATACAAAGGAGTGAAAGTCCAGTAAGTATGTATGTAGGTTAATAGTCAATGCATGAGTGTAGAAAAGGTTCTAGGGTTTTTTTACAAAACCCGAAGCCGTAGTTTTTTTATGAATTTATGGGTGCAAGATAACACGTTGGCAAACAGGTTCTTTAGTTTAGCAAAGTAGGAAAAACATTTTGCTGTTAATTTTTTTAAAGGACAATAACACGTGTAGATAATTGTACTATACATTCCATTGCATATATATTAATATGTAATGAAGTATTTTCAGATTCTTGACTCAATGATAAGTATGTAATACGGTGAAAACTTTCTTTAAGGAAATTCAAGGAACTGATTGATAGTTTTTGCGATATCTTCTTCGTTCAAACACAACATTTTTAAATATTAATTAATCGACAGATCTGTGACCTAATAAATACGGTTTGTCGTTGTTGCTGTTGTCACCTCTTGTAGCTTAGTGGTCAGAGTATTGGTGCATAAAGCCAAAGGTCCCGGGTTCGATTCCCGGCAAGGGTGTGATAATAGCAACAAATTTTTCCCTCATTAACTTGAGGTAGTTTATAGTGGGATTGAAAATTAAAAATGAATTTTCANACCCGGGAGCGGAACTGATCCCTGATATTAACCCCTATTAAATGTCAAAGTGTTTCATATTTATAGTACAAAGTTTTTCTTATTAGTTAAAATTAGACAATAAATTATTGCATTAACCTATAGAAATGTATATTCAACCACAAGAAGCTTGGTTTAAAGGTAATAATCATTAATTAACAAATATAGAAACAACGTGAATCAAATTCCGACAAGGAGAAAGCGATCAAACGAAGAAAGGAGGATGATATTATTAAATGAAGACCTATAATCTCAAATGAAACAGAGAAGTTTGAAGGGTGCAAATTCTAAAGTAATGAAATCATATTCTCTTCTAATGTCAAAAATGAATAAAACAAATTATTTCAAAATATTAACTAAACGTATTGCTTCGTTTATTTTATTTAGGGTACTATAAAAAAATGCATTTAATGGAAGAGCTTTTTTACTTCAAAACATGCGTATCTTCGAGATCTTTATTTTGTGTAGGTATTGGAAGTACTTTGGGCATTGCTGAAATAAAATTTTTAAGAGGAGAAGGGAGAGGTCTAGTAAAAGGCTAATCTGTACCATATGCGGAGGTTGATACGTGACCAATGTGATTTTTACTGTTTCAGATGGTTTTGTATAAAAAAAAATGAAACTCCTATTTCAGAAATTTTAAAAAGACCGCGTTATTCTAGGAAAGGGTTCAAGGATAAAACCGTAATAGACCATGTTGGGGAGGATTATAGTAGAACCATATGGTTTCTGCACATACTCCTAGGAGAAATACCTTTAAACATTGTTATACCTTTTTTAAGGGTAAAAATTGAAATTGCATTCGTCAATTAACTGCAAAACAAAGCATTTCATTTTTATATTGGAAAGGAATTATAAATACGTTTTAATTAAAGTATAATGTATGTAATGGGTGCATATTTGCTGTAATATGCATCATGAAAGTCGTAAATTATTGTATGTTAATTTGAAACTTCAACATAAATGCAGTGTTCGTGATTTTTATCCGATATAACTTTCCCTCTCTTTCAAAATATTTTATGTGCGTGCATTCTAACAATGAAAAATGGTTTTCCGTCGTTTCTGCATACAACACAATTTATTGTTCTTTAATTAGTTGCGGTGCACTCACACACATAACGTACCTATAGTTGGGTCGTTTAAAATTGGCATACTCCTTAATAAAAATGTC